GATGGCCCGGCCCAAGGACATCCGGGACCGGGAGCGCGGGGGCCGTGCCAAGGTGAGCATAGTGGATGGCGAGGACGAGGGCGCCTCGCCGGAGCTCATGCAGGTCCTCACGCACTTGCTGGGTGAGAAGAGGGACATCAAGGCAGCCACACCTGATACTGAAGTGGACCAGAAGCTCAAGTCTTCCCTCAAGCTCTACCAGTGAGTTGCCAGGGGTGGGTTGCCCACAGGGGCATCTCGCAGGGTGCCAGAGGAACCCAGCACCCATCTCTACTGTCCTACAACTCCCATCCCCATGGACAGCCACCAAGAGGGATCAAGGCCACTGTGGGGGTGGGGACAGGTCCTTTGGATGACATTGGAGCAAGGAGAGTTCCTGGTGCCAACAGGGTTGGTACCCAATGGAGAGATGCTAATGCAAGTGTGACCTTTGGATACAGTAGCAATGTCCCTGGGCGGCCCCATCACATCTGACACACCTTTGTCCCTCCTCATGGCCATGAGTGTGCTGCATGGTTGCCACCATGGCAGGGCAAGAGAGTCCCTGGGTGCCACCTCTGTCATGGTCAGGGTGGGAAAGGGGATGGGGAGGGGACAGCCTCACCCAGCCCTGCCACCCCGAGGTGGGAATGGGGAGAGGGTTTTTCCAGCCCTATTTCTAACCCTTCCTTCTCTCTTTTCCTCTGCCAGCATCTCCAATGCCAGCGGGAACCTGGTTCTACAGGAGGTGGGGATTCGACCCCTGACTCAAGATATGCTCCTGCATGAGGTGTGTCACCCATGGGATGCTTGGGGGTGCCCAATTTCCTTGGCAGCTTTAACCCTTCAAAAGCCAATTTGGTGGGCCCAACAAATCGGCTTTTGAAGGGTTAAAGCTGCCCAAAGTCCTAATTTCTGCTGCTGTCACCCCTCCAAGGACTGCTACATCCTTGATCAAGGAGGTCTCAAGATCTTCGTGTGGAAAGGCAAGAAAGCCACCAAGGAAGAGAAGCAAGAGGCGATGAACAGGGCACTGGTGGGTGCTGGGTTAGGGGTCAGTTCTGGGACAGCCTGGCTGCTCCCCGGAGTGCCAGGCACCCTATGCCCATGCTCTGGGTCTGAATTCCCCCAGGGCTTCATCAAAGCCAAGAACTACCCAGCCACCACCAGCGTGGAGACGGAGAATGATGGGTCCGAGTCAACCGTCTTCAGGCAGCTCTTCCAAAAATGGACTCTCCCCAACCAGACCAGCGGGTTGGGCAAGACCCACACTGTGGGCAAAGTGGGTGAGTGTCCTCTTCTGACACTGCAGGGCTCCTTGGATTGGGATGGGGGGTGCTGTGGGGACACCCACAGCCAGCAGGATGAGGCTCAGCCCTCTGCCCTTCCCCACAGCC